GATCGCGTCCTGGACGAAACGCCTGTCTCCCGTCAGGCAGTAACCCACGTGCAGGTGCTGCACGATTCCCTTCTCGTTAGGCATCAGGAAGTAGGGTTCTGGCCAGCTCCATGGTAGTCCCCCGCTATCTCCAGGAGGTCGTGACAGCACGGCCAATCGCTCTCTTGGACGGTGGAGCGTGAGATCTCCTCCACTTCCCGCCACCTCGAAGCTCGAGCATCCTGAGCCCTGTCTCGCTTCCTCGCGTACGCCAGCATCTTCTTCATGGCCTCTCTCCGCCCGAAGCGTAGCATCGTCGCCTCGATGACGTCGCGGAAGCGGAAGAACTTCCTCGCGTGCACGTCTTTGTATGCTCGTAGAGACCTCAAATCCTCTGTCGCTAGGAAGAATGTCTTCCTGGCGGTTGACACGGGCATCAACGCGGCTTCTTTGTCCGCCTCCGTCATGAGATTCCGGACGGAGAAGCTCACGTATGGTTTTCCCGAGGGCGTGGTGTCCGCCTCATACTCGCAGTCTTCCTCGCACGCCAGTGGATCGACGCATCGGCCCAGGTCTATGGAAGGCCTCGCTCTGGACGTTTCGTCACACCTTCGTTCGTATGCTGCCATCATCAACGGCCAAGCCCTTCCAGCGGCGTCTCTGAAGCTCCTCGAGGTGCATGCCAGGGAAGCGACGGAAGAGGCCCTCATGTCCGAATGTCTCTCGAGCAGTTCCAGCAGCACGTCCGCGTCGACGGACTCGATGGGCGAGGTCGGTGCACGCTCGGTACGCTCCATGGTGCCTGACGTCGGTTACGGAGAGTCGACGGCCCTATATCGACGCTGAAATTTCCTCATATCGAGACTGGCGTCCGACATGCGTGTTTCGGACGGCATTCGCACGTGCGCTAGTAGCTTACGCGAGCTCTCGGACACCATTCAATGGGGCGAGCTCTCGGACGCCATTTTCACACATATAAAATCACTGAGAAGGCAACACATTCTTTTCAGACTCGCGGTGGAAGATGGCGCCCTCTTTCGAAAAGGCCCTTGATAGAGCAGAGATAGCCGTCCATGATCTGGTGAATGCGCAGCAGGGGAGGAGGGCTCTGTGTGTGGCTATCAAGGCCGTCAAGAAGCATGCTCCTAGCGACATGTCTCTGCAGAGTAAGCACAGGGTTTGCGAGATGGTCAAGAAGGCGAGCGAGGAGTTGAACCACAACGCCATGAAAAGGCAGCTGACGGACGGCGACATCAAGTCTCTGACGAGCCTGTTGGCCAGCAATCACCACCTGCTGCTCCACGACATACCGACCTGGTTTCTCGAGCTCAACGACGACGGGACATGCGGCCCGAAGAGGCTGGAGTGGTGGCAGGGAGAGTACATCACCGACATAGCTTTCATGGTGCTCAAACTTCTCCGTAGTCTGAAGTACCTCTCGACCTTGGAAGATACATTGAAGGTGATGGGTGCCCCTGATGCTTCGACTTCCCTGGTCCACTACATGCGGCTCTTGGACAGACCGAGGATCCGCTCTACCGGAGAGGAGTCTCGGAACTTTCGAAAGGGAGCGAGGAACATGCTCAACCTCCTGAACACGGGGAGCGTCTTCTTCGATACGAGCAACTACGACCGGCCGATCACCAGGGTGCACATCGACGTGGCGGTCGACGTCAAACTGATGTGCGCTTTTTGCTTCGCGACCAGGCCGGAAGGGAGGGCGGGCCCGGAGTGGCAGAGACTGCATGTCTGTAGTCGTTGCAAGGGTAGGGCGTACTGCTCCAAGAAATGCTCGGTTAGCGACTGGAAGGAGCATAAGCTATCGTGCAACAGCAGGGAGAAGGGGCAGGTGTCATTGCGGGCTTGGGAGACATTCAACGAGCCTGAAGAAGAAAAGGAATGGTGTAAGTCGGTAGATGACATCTTGCTGGACATGTCGAGAGACGTCTGAGAGTGCGTTCAAACCAACGCTATCGTGTCGTTGAGTGGTGGCAGAGCTCCCATTCTCGTTTTCAGCTCGTCGGCGTTCGTGATGTCCAAAAAGTGCAACGTTTGTCTCTTCAAGGGCCGGTCTTCATTATCTCTGAGCACACAGAAGGCGCCGTGGTTCTTAGTTGCGTGTACGTACAATGTATAACGTGCAGCCTTGGCGATATCGCCCCTGTAGTAGTTGAATGCTCCTTCGTGCACGTAGCATCTCCACTCACCCTTCACTGGCATGGAACACACGTGCTCGCTTGGTATCTCGCACAACCATGCTTTGTTACGCGGGAGGAGCCCCCAGCCCCACGTGTCCAGCGTGATCATGACGTCTTTCGGTTCCCTGAACGAACACACGGCGAGCGCGTAGGATCTTGCCTTGGACAGCACCCACGTGAGTTGGTCGGATGAGATCTTGTCCATGCTATGAGACCTCAATGCAAATGTACTTGGCCTCGCTGCCGCGTTCTGGCACCCCCGACAAATATACGGAGTACGTGTAGTCATGGAAGTATACGATTATCCCTTTGGGAAGAGGGGGAGGCAATTCGTCAAGCTGGGCTCGCACGAGGGAAAGGCTCTTATCTTCATGCTGAACGATCCTACGCAGACGTTCGCCCTGTTGCTCGAGATCCTCCTGGATGTGTGCCCACTGCAGCGTCGAGACGGAGACGTCTCGACGGAGGTCCTAGAGGCAGAATTTGCAAAGTTGATGGAGAGCAAAGACACGGTGGATCAGGATCTGATGAAGGCGTGTACTCATCTCAAGAAGAAGTCGTGGGGCAGGGCGCAGTATGCGTAGCTCTCACGCGAGAATTCTCCTGCGTGAACTTATGCGGTCCTCATGGATCAGAGCGTCCCTTGCTTCTTCCGATTCCACGTCTGCTTGAATAGCTCGAGCAGGAACCTCGCGACGTACCCTTCTTCTAACTCTTACAGCATACGCCTTCCGTACTCGATACACAATTGCGTCTCCCTGCGCCTCATATCTGCTATAATACCAAACACGGCCGAGACGCTCTACCTGGACGTCGCGGTGGACGAGGCGCCAAAGCCCTCCTGTCAGACGGCCGTGTACAGAGACGAGGCCTTCAGCGAGAACGAGACGCAAGGCCGGTCGATATTGGCACGCTTACCGATGGACTCACCGCTCGGAAAGGTCAAGTATTACAGGCCCGCGATCACCGAGATAGGGGACAACCTCTGCGACCCCGTCTCTATATCTAGGCTGAGCGTCATCTTGCTGGACGACGCGGGGGCACTATACGATACCGGTGGCGCGGACCACTCGCTCGTCTTCGAGTTCAAGACGCTGGGGAAGAGGTTGCGCTTGCCCACGGACCCCCCTCCACCGGCCAAGTACGAGCCGATACCCCCTGCACCAAGAGCGGTGGTCAGCTTCGAGAAGACCGCGAAGAGAACGAAAGAACCCGTGGCGGCAGCAAAGTACACGACGTACGCGTTCTTCGGGCTGACGGGGTTGGCGTGCGCGTACGGTGCCTGGCGTCTGTTTGGGCCGGAAGGGCCCGCCGAAGATGCGGTTTAGGGCTGGTTAGGTGTCTCGGTGCTGTCATGACGATGGAGCAAGCGAAGAGGCTCGCGCAGCAGAAGAGTAAGGACCCGCAAACGAAAGTCGGGTGTTTGATCGTGAACGATTCTGGGAAGGTCCTCAGCGCCGGAGTGAACTCGTTCCCAA